TATATTTTGGAGTGAGGAATCAATAAAATGACTCTACAATTTAAAAATGTGATATGTGGAAAAGGGTAAGAAACTCACATAAAAAGGAAAACCATTCATGTTGTCGCTAACCTAGCCTAATAGACATTCTATTTTTCATAGTCTTCCCTAACACCAATTTTATGAAACCCTGTCATGTTGTAATATAGAATGGATTCTAAACGCTGATATTATTTTTTATTTTCACTTTTTTCTGACAAGAAATAGGTTTATGGTAAAATTTTAAAAGGTGATGCTATGTTGTTGGAATTCTATGCGCTTCTGCAACATATGTGAGATTATTTTGATATACCTATGCAATTCCTAAATTCATGAAATTATAGTATGATATACATTGAGATATCTATTTCAAATCTGGAAATTTTCACGAGCGTTGACTACAAAATGAATTATTGGTGAAATGTGTACTACATAATTTTTGCAATTTCTGCAACACATGCCATTGCGATTTTATTTTTGGCCCACTTGTAAAATCTTAAAATAATGAAATTTTGGGCAATAGTAAATCTATATGTTTACTTCATTTTTGAAAATTTTCATGCACATTGGATGAAAAATGAATATTTGGTGAATTGTTTAGTCTCGGGTATGGACTAGAATTTCTGTCATTTCTGCAGCACATCACATTTCGAATTTTCTTTTGGTACACTTATAAAATTTTAAAAATTAAGAAATTTTTCGAATAAGTAGCCATATATGTCTAGTCCATACCTAAAAATTTTCATGACAAACTAAAGAGAATTTTTAGTGAATTTTCAAACTAAGGTGGTACATATTGCTAAATATTATGACTTCAAACAATTGGTTATGTTCTGAAATATTGTTTTCACTGATTTGTGCACATTTAATGGTACCAATTATTTGACAAATTTATTGTACCAATTTTTCCTTATTTTATGCAAATTCTCAATACCAATGAATTTTATTAAGTAACATTGATTAATTTTGATTGGTGATTTACTAGTTTATTTTTCTCAAACCAATATTTTGTTTGGTCATCAATTCTGATTATGACGACCATTGTCTTTTGAGACAAAGTTAGAAAATGACATCAGTCTACAAATTTATCATTTTGGTCCTTATCGGATAACTGAATAAACACATTTTCATCTTTTGAGGACTCACTAGTGCAAAAAATACTTTGTGTTACGTAGGTCACTCGTTGCGCAAAGTCAAAAAAACGTCGCGCAAAAAATGGGACAATTCAAGAATTTCCACTATCGAAACCTAATCCGTGAACCGCAAACTACAACACATAACTATGCATTCCCAAACTATCCAAAAAATGGGACAATTCAAGAATTAATTGGACCGCTGTCATGCTTTTGCATCCATACACAAAATCCAACTAATTCTCAAACGGGAAACTAAGCTTTTCTTGACAAAAGTGTATGAAGTTAAGTAGTATTAACTTCGTACAACACAAAACAATTTTGTACGTGATGTACAAAAATATGTGCATACAAATAAATTAAATCACAATAACTAGTGAAACTAAATAAAATAGATACAAAATATTAATACTTCTAAACTATAATGTTGATGGCCTTAGTTTTTATTTGTTTATATTAATTATATCATAGAATATACATATTCTAGTTAGTTACACTCGAGTAATTTTGGTGGTGAGATAAATGTATTGTTAGAATATGAACACAAGTGTACGCGTATTTTGGCTAGATATTGGTTTTAAAAAATCTTATTGAAAGATGTTTTGGTTGTCTTCAAGTTTACAAAGGATTGAGACTGAAAATGAATCGTGAATTACTTACTTGTATTAAAATTGGAAGACGATATTAATTTTCTACAAGGATTTAATAGGAGAATCGTAGCCATTGTTTAACTACATAAGTATGGCATATGCTCACAAAAATCAACCCCCTCATTATTGAACTAAAACATGTTGTCTTAGCATTGAGAATTTAATAGTGATGATAAGATTAGCTTTGAAGTTCATGGCTTTTGTAGGTTTTCTATATAATTCTTAATTACCTACGGTGCATTGGATTTACCCTCAATTCAACCATATAGCACAAATTAAGGAAATTTCAAGGGAAAACCAACATTTCTTACAATTTCTTCTATGTAAATATATAAGTTAACCCATATGCAAAATTAATAAAGACTAAAGGGCATAGCAAGTAGGCAAAGGTACCTAATAGGTAAAATTAATAAAGATTACTTCAAAATTCAATCTCACAAAACTCAAACCATTACCAAAAAAGGGCATAGCAAGTAGGCAAAGGTACATATACAAAAATCACATATGCAACATGAAGAAAATACCATCAAATTCGTTCTTCAATGATAATCGTATACAAAAATCCTTTACAAAACAAATTTAGTAGTTTTAGTTTGAATTCTCAATTCAAAGTTACATATACAAAATCAAATCGCTTACCGGATAGAAAAAGATTGAGGAAGGGAGAGAATTGGAGAAAGTTTTGAAGAGAGATGGGGGAGGGAGGTAGCTGCTGCAACTAGTTTGCAGTTTCTACCTCCCAAACTGATTAAGTGAAGTAAGAAAAGGTCGTTGACTTTGTGCGACGCCGCCTATGTCACGCAAAACAGCTTTGTGTGACGCATGTTCACCTACGTCACGCAAAGCTGTTTTGCGTGACGTAGGTTGCGTCACGCAAAATTGTTTTGCGTGACGTAGGTGGCCTTGCGTCGCACAAAGTCAACCAAAAAAGCGGCAAAGCTATCTAGATTTGGCGCCAAACAATTTTGCGTGACGTAAGTGAACTTACGTCGAGCAAAACACTTTTGTGCGACGTCGGTCTCCGTCGCGCAACATGCCGTCACGCAAAGGCCGTTTGCGCGACGTTTTGTGTTTAACGTCACGCAAACATACTTTGCGCGACGAATTTGGCTGCGTCGCGCAAGTTTCCGTCGCACAAAGTGTTTTTTCTACTAGTGGCTTTACTGTTCAATAAAGGCATATTCTTGTGTCTAAGAATTCTAATTTATATGTTGTGAGTACTTTGTCCCAAAGGGAATTTTAGGAACCACTGATCAACAATAAATTAGTATATATAGCTAACCATAAAATATTTCTAATATATTTCACCTGGCGAAAGCTGTTGAAACTATATTTATTTTGTGTATTTTATGTTTTGGCTATGCAGTGAAGGTATTTTCCTTACATAATATGTTTCTATCCAAAGGTGTAACATACATGCAAATTATAGGTAGTTCTATCCTTGACAACTTGACTACATCCATGGTGAATCTTGCAAAATCAAGAATGAGTAGGTAAATTTGCCAATGTTTTGTCTTAATTTTCTTTGAGTTCTAATTAGATTAAAATTATTGTTAGAATAATTGAATATTATTGAGATATCTAAACTAAGTGTTTGTTCTAATTTAATTTATTTTAGAAAACATGAATTGAGTTTGAATTTCTTGATTCGGTGTTATTCTAATTCATTTTAATTTGTGACTGAACGAGACAATAAAGAAGGATCTCAAGGCATATATTTCAAGAAATTATTTTCAGACATGAATATATTTGTAATTTTTCAAAAATGACACAATTGCACAGTTTCTTAGTGCACATTATGCTTTGATTAATGCATGTTAAACGACACATCTACACTAAAATAAAATAAAAATCGTAGTCATTGATATGTTTTTTTGTTTATGAAACTTTTATTTATGTTTGGAAAAGTATATGTGTTTGATCCTTATTGGTTCAACTTACTTGCACTTTTGGTTGTTAATTAGACATTAAAACATGTTTATCTTTTGTTGTATGAAAATCATTTCCTCTAGTATACAATCTTGCAATTTTGAGTGTCTACCCAAGTGAGAGAAATAATATGTTATGGGCTTCACACTCATCATTTTGCATAATTTAGGTAGATAAAATGTACATTATCATACTTGTTTATATTTTATTTGTTATATGCAACTAACCTTGTAGGAAATTCTAGTTTGAATCACTATTGTTTTATATCAATAATGAACTGATAAATGCAATATGACTAGATTTAAATCCAGATGAGTTAATACGTATTTTCTGCTCAAAAGTGTTTGCTTATTAATTTTTCCTTATTTTGTCAAGAAATTGAACTTGTGATTTAATGTTATTGATGGATTATTAATCTGCTCAAAAGTGTTTTCTTATTTAGTCCAATTATAAATCAATGTACAGTTAAACATGAAATTGACAAGATTGTATATACTTTATCTACTCAAAAGTGTTGAAGCTTATACATTTCTCCTTGTATTTTATGTATTAACTGTGAAAACCTAATATAATCAGATTCTATCTAACGATGATTGTGGAATTATAAGCTTGTGTTGCAATTAGAAAACATTTAGTTAAAGTTTTCTCTTTCTGTCAAAATTTAGATGAATAAAACTGACTATATGATTTTGTATAACTTTTCAGTCCCTCACTTCCTTGCAATATTTGGCATAGAGATGAAGTCAGAAAAATTAGTAGTTGATGTTGAATCCTCAAATTTAGTAATCATAAATCCTTTTACTAATGCTTGATTAGTGTGAGTGTATTAGAGGTATATGTGTTTATGAATTGGAATTAAATGATATTATAGTTGTTAAAAAAAAACACCTTACCAATTTTTACAAATAGCATCATAAATTGTTAAAAAAATAACTGCACTGAAATATCTAATTACTCAAATCTATAATTCTTTTAAAACACATCACTGAAAACCCCACGGAGAGAGGTGCATATTCCTAACCTTGCACAGTTAAATTTGCATTTTGTTTGAGGGGAGAAAAATGTTCAGAACTGATAAGTCAATGGTTAAATAAGTTTACTCTGGTGTCAAATATTTTTTAATACATACATAATGCTGTCTATTTAAATCAACATTGATTCTTGCATACCTTCGGTTATATAATGTTTGAAGTTGAATGTATGTATACCCAATTGGGAATGATTCTTTATCTGAAACTTAGAACAAACCAACTCATCCGAGAACACAATGGAACTTAGATGCAACTCCAATTTAATCAATGTAAATTATTATACTGAAACAATGTGATCAAACTTAATCAAAACTCCAAATCCACCAAAAGTTTAAATTTCTTACCTTGAGTACAGAGGGCTTCGGAAAATGACGGCATTCTAGCCTAGAAATAAAATCCACAAAATCAGAAAAAATGAAATTTGCACAGAATTCACAGTTCTAAACACAAAATTACCCACACCAAATCGGCTAGAGAACTTCCCCACTAAACTCAAACAAAATCAACTCCAATTTGTTTTCTTTTCCAAAGCTTGTCTCAATCTGCAACATCATGACCAAATCAAAACCCCCAAAACAAATTGCAGGCATTTCCGAAAACCCAATTCACTCATCGCAAAACAATCAGTAAAGTGTGTACCCTTGAGCAAATTTCTTAGCTCTAGTTGGAGCATCGGGAACTGATGCGTCGAACTCAGCTCGTTTCCTACCGAAAACCAATCAAAACCATTAACGAAAAACCCAAGAAATTAAGGTTTATGATGGAGGTTGGGGAAAGGATGAGGATTATCACTTGAAGGAGGGGGTGGAGTTGTATAAGAGGTCGATCCAGGAGAGCTTAGTGGGAGTGGGCTTGCGGGGATTGTCGGAGGGGAATCTGTAGGGGATGGTGCATGCTCTGTAGTTGAATCCGATCGGCATCGTGAACAGTGCAAATAAAGAGTGAATTAAAAGATTAATCAGAGAGCTTACCTTTGCAGTTGTTGCCACTGCGCCTTCATGTTTCATCCACTCATGTGAAGATGCAAACTTCAATCTATCCAAAATTGCAAGATCCAAACATAAACCCCAATATTACAATTCTTTTCAACTTAATTACCCAAAAACAATAAACTTTAAAATACCCCAAATACATAACATCCCTAAATTCACCATCGTCTTTGACAAATGAAACTTAGCTCTCAACAATGGCGACATTCGGTTCCAGCGAGTTGTCAAAGGTTATCGGCTAGCACAAAATCGACCCCATCAATACTCACATCCCAAATTTCACAATTTTTTATCAAAATTGATGCAAAACGAAAACCCATCCAAATCAGGGAAGAAGATGAGTTTTACCCGAGGAATCGAGTTGAACATATATCTTATGGGTTCTTCTTTTACCTGCACAGAAAGTAAAAAATTAAAAACCCACAAACCAAAAGCTTAAAAAAAAATTCAAATTTCTTTCTCCAGAGATTATTACAAAGAAACCTGAAGAGATCTCCGATAGGTTTCCAAGGGAGAGGTCAAAATGAAAGAGATGTTGTCCAACGGATGGGGAGGAAGAAGGAAGGAAGAACAGCACATCGTTTCTACTTTTCCAGAAAAATATCTACACAAATTTTGACTGGTTCGTTGTTCTTAGCAAGAAAGCGAGAGAGAGACGGAGAACTCGAGATCAGAGCCAGAAAACGTGAGGATTGAGAGGAAGAAAAGCGTTTGTGAGACACGGATCGAAAAGGATGGAAGGCTCCAGAAGGCCAACGCGTCGACATCCTATGGAAGCAGACGGACTCATGGCGCAAAACTAAGAATTCATTATAGAGAAGCCAAAACTAAAGGAGCACGATGACCAACACGTGTGAAACATGGCACAAATGAAATTAAACAAATCAAGAAGGGGTAAAATCGACATCACACTGTGCTTATGAACAGTGTTTAAGCGTTTTTCTCTTTTAGTATAGATTGAATTTGGAGTCCTTATTATGTACAATTAATCATGAGGTCTTATTTGGTTAGACAAGAAATCAATGTCAATTAGGACTCTAATGTTATCCTATGATTTGGCAAATTCCAAATATTCAGTAATTGGCAAATTCCAAATATCCAGTTTGTTATGCAGTTTCTACCTTCCAGCATAATTTATTCATTTCTTTATTCTCAATGAAGATTCAAGAAGTTATTCATAAGCCTGACTCAACTACTGTCTACAACAACTGCTCAAACCCTTATGTGGGTCTTGCGATAGGGTAAACCAATTTCCCAACACCCATATGGGTAAGCTCTCAAGTGCGAGAAGATAAACTAATTGATTTCCAGTGTGAGAGGGTAAACCAATTCCCCGACACCCAAAAAAGTCTGCTCTCGAGTGCGAGAGGATAAACTAATTGCTCTTCAGTGCGAGAGGGTAAACCAATTATCCGACACCCATATAGGATTACTCTCTAGTGCGAGAGAGTAAACCAATTCCCCGACACCCATATGGGTAAGATCTCCAGTGTAAGAGGATAAACTAATTGCTTTTCAGTGCGAAAGGGTAAACCAATTCCTTAACACCTATATAGGTCTGCTCTCCAGTGCAAGAGGATAAACTAATTGCTCTACAGTGCAAGAAGGTAAACCAATTCCCCGACACCCATATGAGTAAGTTCTCTAGTGCAAGAGGGTAAACTAATTGCTCTCCAGTGTGATAGGGTAAACTAATTCCCTAATGCTTATCTGGGTAAGCTCTCCAGTGTGAGAAGGCCACATAGCTCAAAAGATCAAATGCTTGAAGACAAACTTGGCAGCAAATGATCAAGGGGCAGCAGCCACTTTGCACTTAATAGTTCTCTCATCCAACACTTTATCTTCAACATCTACGATCTTGGTAGCTCCATCCTTGACTGCTTCATCTATGGCAGCTGAAAAATCAAACTCAGTAGTTTCCTCATTTTTGGCAAGCAACTCGGACGTGGCAGCCTAAACTGTGGCCTATGCCACGCCACTTTATCGGCCCATGCTAAGCCAGTCTTTGGCTTCAGTCAAGCCGAGCAACATAAGCAAATGGCCCATTCCACACCTCCTCCTTGGCCCATGCCAAGACGACTCTTGGCCCCTGCTAGCTAACGTGGCGCATAACCCCAACGGCTACCCCATGGCAACACCACCCAAGAAGAAGACAAGGAAAATTAAGTGTTTCTTACATCGGTGTGGCATGGAGAAGACAAAGAAATTTACGAAAGACGGTTCTTTGCACGGGCAAGTAAAGAAGAGTGTTAGGGGAAGGGGAACAAATATCCTCTAACTTTCTCTCTTTCTTGTAGGGATAAATAATTGCCCTTTGAAGTTGATTTAATCCCCTGCTTAAGGTAGGCCTAAATAGGCTTTAGACGCGATTTATTTCCCTTTCCTAGAAGAATATAATTCCAAGTCCAAGTAGAACTCTGAATCAAAGTTGAAGATCTCTACACTTGCTGCCCTTTCTTGGAAGCAGCTCAATAGGTGTGGGGGCATTTGTGGAGCTAAAAATAATCAAGAAAAATATGGAGGCGACACGTGGATTCTAGGGGTAGAAAAAGACAAAATTACCCTCGAGGCACATTGAAGCTTCTACGCGCAAGTAGCGGACAATCAAGGTCAAAAGTGATCAAAATAGGTATTTAATCAAAACCTATTTCATCCATCCTCATCAAATCTCCCTCACAAGGTAACTCCCAAATTATTTCTCCTAAATTATATTAATTAGCTAATTAATTAATTTATCACTCAATTAATTTATTAATTAGCTAATTAATTGTAAATTACACCCAAAAAACCACTAAAGTGGCCGGTTCCCATCTATCCCAAAAGGGCTGGCCACACCCCTATAAATACCACCCTATTTTCTCCAAAAACCTAAGTTCAACACTCTTGCAAAATTCTCCAAATTCTCTAAACACTTTTCCCTCAAATTCTAACTTTGGCATTGAAGGTTCTTCGGCCAAAGCCACCTCCTATTCATCGTGGGCGTGTGAGGCTCTTGACATTAATCAAAGGTGTTAATTGTTTTGTAGGTGCAATTTTGTCCAACAAAAAGAATGTAGAAATTTGCATCCACAACCATCATGTTCATGGTCACTTCCGTAATGAGGATATTGCTCATAATTACCCTCATATGGTAGTCCCAAACAATATTGAGGGGGATCACCATTCATCTTGTTGTAAAATTTGGAAATTTATATAAGAACTTTCTATTTTTGTATTATGAGTTTCATGTCAACCTGTATTTTGAAATTTATAGTGTATTTAGACTAAATGACTAACACATAATTATTGTGGGTTTACCATTTGGCTTGTATTTTATATTGCTTTCGTACCATGTACTGATCATCAATATGTTATTCCAAACCTCGATCCGATTTGCGTGAAGCTAGTTGGTTACATGTCCATGCCAACAAGAATTGAAGAAAGGGGATTAAGGTATAATAAAGGGTAAATTACAATTTGCACTCTAAAATTTGTGTGCAATTGCAACTTCATACACCATTTTTAAAACATTTTAATCTCATAAAATTACTTATATTTCATTTCAGTTTTGCACAACCGATCCATTAAATTAAAAGAACTAATGAAAAGGGCTTGAAAACTTTGAGTTTTAATGATAAGGACAAAATAAAGGGTAAAGTGAATAGTACCAGAATTGACTTTTTAGTGTAAAAATGTGGTTTTTCGTTAAAGTGAACAGTACCGGGTGCTTTTCGTTAAAGTTCCCTTAAATTAATCATTAAGCAATCACATGGCAAATATAAAGCCCAAATATTTTGATGATTTGTCAAATAAAAATAATTAAATATTAAAAATCAATGTAAAAGCAAACTAAATTAAAGAAAAGCGAGCCCCACCCTACCTTCTTCCCGTAGATCTCGCAGAGCAGCAGCCGCTTGACAAAATCCCTAATTTTTTTTTTTTAATTCTAGGTTAGTCCGACCTAATCAGAGCATCTTTTTCTTCTCTTTCTTTTCTCTCTCCCTCTCCTCCCCTTTCGAACTCTAACTTCAGCTCTAGAAGCTTCGCGAACTCACGGGCTAGATTTCCAATGGCAAATAGCAAGGCTGCCAGAGAATCTCCAATAGAAGGAGCACGTATGCCGTAGATCCGAATACTGACGATTTTTCAAGTGGAGCGGGTCGCCATGGACTACAGCAACGTCGCCCCTTGGACCCCTGTACGATTCCGAAGTCGAGATGTGGATCTTGGTGGCTATCTCCGTCGCTTCGAGTGTCGCTTGGTTGGCGGTAAAATGGGCAAACTTGAAATACGACATGCGTCGTTGCAGCGTGAAGTCCTCGAAGGAGTGTCATATGCCGTCGTAATGCAGTGTTTATAGGTGGGTTTGTGGATTTGGGAGAAGGGATGGGAAGATGGGATGGGGGTTGTAATGGGAGCCGGAGATTTACGAAGGGGTATGATTGAACTCATTGAAGGGGGTTGGGCACACTAGGCATAATTTTTTTTTATTAAAAAATTTATTTTATATTGGTTTCATTTATTTGGACAAATTTAACTGACACGTCATTACTTAACGATCGTTTTTAATGAATTGACCAAGGCCATCTCTAATGAATCAGGTCATAGGGCTATGGGCACTTTTATAGTTTGAAATGAGGAAAAACCCATGTCTAATGGAGGTCCACGCCAAAGGAAAAAGGGGACCTACTAGGCCAAATTCCAGCCCATGGCCATCGGGCTGGCAATTGAAGCCAGTTAGCTAGCTTGCTGGTGGGGCCCAACCAGTGACTGCACTTCGTTAGCTGATGTCATGATCTAGCCGTTATATTTGAATTAATTTTTTTAAGGACGAAATTAAAAAAAAAAAAAAGAAATTTTAATTCTAATTATTTTTCTATAAATACCCAAACCATTTCTACACCATTCCTCACACTATTTTCATCATTCTATACTATCTTACCTCATTTTATTTCAATTCTTCACATTCTATTCTCTTATCTCTTCTAATAATCTTTCCTTTACTGTTTTCAATAAATTTCAAATGTCCACATCTTCAACCAAAGGAAAGGCTTGGACCCGGAAAGAAGATGAAACTATATGCAAGGCTTATAGATGGGTATCGGAAGATAGTGTCAAGGGGTATTTCTCAAACAAGTGAAGGCATTTGGACTCGTACGTCCAAAAAGTACTATGAGTTCTATGAAAGCACCACTCCACCGAAGCCCAAAATCCACGAGAGTTGTTCTTCATGATGGAAAAAACATCTTCATCCAAGGTTGAATAAATGGCATCAAGCCATGATAACGGCCTAAATGAGACATGAAAGCGGAGCCAATCAATACAACAAAGTAAGTGTTTTCAAGTTCTTTTATGTATTTAATTATCTTACATTTAATTCCATAAATTAATTTTCTTTAATTTTTGTAATTATATTTTCTAGGAACGCCAAGAGGAGCAATTGTATATGGATGACATTAAAAATCCTCTTACTCATCAAGGTTGTTGGGAAATTTGTAAAGGGTGGGTGTTATTTCAAGATCCGCCTCAAGAAAGATTTGGTCATACGCCAGTGTTCAGAAATGTTTCCTCAAATACAGTTGGCGATGAAGAAGTATCTCCTATCATTGAAGAAACAAGGCTAGAAAATCTGTTTCCAGGTCAATCTTCGATACCCAGGGCTATGGGATGACACAAGGCTAGAAAACTGAAGGAAAAAGGCAAGGAAAAGGAGGAGTTAGACTTTCGAGAGGAAATGGCCTTCTCATTGCGATTAATGGCGGACCAAAATAACATTGCCGCGGAAGAAAGGAAGTGTAGACATGAAGAACAGGCATAACAAATACAAGAAGAGATGGATGATA